GAGGTCAGAGCCACAGCTGATATGACTAATTACCAAGCTACATTCACTCCATCTGTCCCACAAAATGTCTAAGACAAAGAGCATAGGGTAAAACATCTCCATCCTATGCTGGTGCTCATCAAATTCTGTATAAAAATAACAGTGAGAGCACTTGGAAGATTTCATCCTCTGAAGTATCTAAACATTTGTGCCAGAACAATTCCTCAAGTTTCCATGTAGAGAAATTTTGTGGGTAAATTACAGAATAAGAACTCAGATGACAAGAAATGTGTGGGTGTGCTTGTTGTATATATTGTGGCAGATCCTGAAAATCCCACTCTCCTATGTAGGTGCCTGAACCCTACGATGAAATGCCGAGTTAGTTTTCCTGACTCACCTAGGTGTGTCATGTCTCCAGGCTAGGTGCATAATACATGCTGGCAATCTCCCTTTCTGGCTTTGTCTTGACAATGCAGCAAATGGCTTATGACTCCTGCTCCAAGATCCAAAACCATCACAGCTGCACGACTAAAAAAATAATCCGGTGTAGTAAATGAATTCTTAATGTTCAAATTTGTTCAAAAAATGCCGACAGTTTAACTTGCAGTCACAGAGCTTTATGCCAGTAAGGTATTTATTATTTGTGCCTCCTGTGTTAACTTATGTTGACTAATAACCATCCATCTACAGCTAGTATAAAACCTCTATATTGGGTGAGTTCCATGGCTGTAGCTAATTTTGGAGAAATAAAACCATATGCTCTCTGGTCTGGACCAAACTTTTATTGTTTGGTGATCTGGTAGCACAGACAAACAGTAGTCCTGATGGTGGAACTGCAGTTTCAGAGAGAGTAACTTGCAATGAAGATAGGAGTATCTGTAGAAGAATGTAGAAACAAGCAAGTCTGGAGAGGAGGAATGGACCTCAGATTAGGTTTTTTGATTGTTTGTTTCCTTCTAAGTAAGAAATTGACAGAGTCAGATACCAAGGCGAGGATGTCTGTACCTGCCATGCAGTTTATCTGCTACTGTGAACAGAATGGGAGCACTGCATTTGTGCCATTTCATATTACATGAACACCATTTATATTGTGTACATAGAACTGAGAAGAACTATTTCACTAATCAAACCACGACGCTAAGCAATTACCCAGACTTCTGTCTACTCAAACATGGTAATGTTTCATACTCTTCCACTTCACTGATTTATTTTGTAGCAGGGTGCATACACACACACACACACACACACAGATGTGTCCGCTAACTGAGCACCACAAATCTGAACAGGTGACATCTCTGTGCTTTTCATAAATCCTCCCTGGGATGGCTCTCCAGAACTGAGACCAATGGAAGAGCCCACATCAGTATTATTAACCTCTGCAAAATACGGTGACCCCACCCAAAGTGCCCGCTGGGAATGGCCACTGGCCCACGCTGACTCCCTACCCATGCCCATGGACCGGGAGACGACTGCCCAGCCAGAGACACGGGGCTGCCCTGAGGCTGACCTGCACACAGAGGGCTGAGCTCCCAGCTCACACACCTGCTCTGCCTCTGTTTAAGGTGCTTCTATAGATGCAGTGATAGTGTCTCCTAGTGGCTATATTCCTGAAGGAGCAGAGCCTAATCCAAACTTCACACCTGAAACTCCCGCTCTTTAAGGCGTACAAAATACAAACACATCTCTGGATTTTTAGAGTATCTAAATCTAGAAGGATTTTTTTTTTTTTGAAAAATACAAAACCAGTGAAAGAGTAGTAAGGTACTGTATTCTTTACCTTTAGTAAGACTAAAGAGAGAGATAAGAGCCATAATAAAACCAAGTGAAGCAAGGACTTTGCTCAGAGGTCTGAAGGCAAGTATGGGTATCAACCGATCAGAGTCAATCTCACGTAACCTTTAGGTCCTATCAAGATCCGTTAAAAGCAGAGGAAACGCTGTAATGCTCTACTTTGGTAAATCTCCATAGATCAACCCATCACGTACTGAGCCCTACACCAGACACCACAGTCTGTGGATATGGACTCATGTCCTGGGATCTTTGAACCACGCTGACCACTCGTGACAGGTGATGCCAGCACAGTTCAGAAGACCAGGTCTCCCAGCAGCATCCTGCCTGCAGTCATGGCCAGCAGAGGACGTTTAAACAGAACATAAAAACAAGAAACCTTGAACTGTATCTTATCTATACTTGATGCTAGCCCTTCCTCCTTGAACAGGCTATTTTCCATTTTCAGCACCAGCTAAACACCAAAAATCCATCTTAGTAATGAGATCTGTATCAGGGGATTTTGTGAAAGAAAGACTAAACCTTCAATATACAGACAGCATAAACCAAAAACCCCACTAGTTGGAACTACTGTAAGGTAGACCCAGAGGCACATGGGTCTGATTTTGCCACGTTGTTGAACGTTTCCTTTCTCATTTTCTTCCAATTGAAGTTTCCCATTGTTAACCATCCTCTTGGAACAGAAAGATTAGCGCAGCAAATTTCCATACATGGATAATCTTAACCAAATAAGATATTGAAGGAAAAATAAAAATATGACTGGAAAGGCACAGGCAATGAAATCTTTCCTACCAAATCCCGTCTGCAAGTGACAACTAACTCATAACAATGGAGCACAGATTTACCTTCCCTTGTATATCAGGGCCTTTTGTTGTTCATTAAACGTCCTGTCACACACCTGACATCCTCACTTTGAAGATTTTACATAAGCTTCCCGGTTAGAAGAGTAGTAAGTCACTACAAAAATGACTGTAGTTGGAGGAGTTTTAACACCACAAAATAAAACCTTTATATACTTCTGATCTCAACTAATATATCTAGCTGAACATCCCAAGAGCAACTAGATGTAAATATGGAGTGTATCCCTTTGTTCCCAGCTCCAGTAGGTCCCTCTCCATGTACCTGTGTGTGCCTGTTGATGCAAGCAGAGCAGTGTCTCTGCCACAGTTCTCACATTGTGCCAGTGCTGGTGGAAAGCATTTCTTGAACAAGGTCCAGTCAATATTCACTTTCCCTGATGATCCTTTTGGTGCCTCAGTTTGCTGACCTTTACGCCACAGTGAAAACCAATCTCTACCCTCAGCTTTTCACTTGAGGGGAGAGAAAGATGAGAATTCAGTTTTGGAAGAGGTTCTTCCTGGTAAACACAGATTGACAATTGAAATGCTTCCCACTCAACTTCTTTTTCCACACCTCCTTCAGCTGTCACACACCACTAACTGAATCATACCAAACAACAATTTCAGTTTGTCTTAGTCTAGGTAAATTCCCACAAGGTTTGAAAACAAAGCCTAAACTTTTCGTTTCTTTTCTCACCGTGACAATTTAGCTCTGTTCCATAAGAAAAACAAAAGCATGCATCTACTAAAGCCTTTCTGGTTTCGGCACTCTGATCTTTTGGAGCCCGTCTATTCAGTCAAATTCTTTGAAAAGCACCTCTCTTTCTACACACATTTAAAACCTCCTCTCGTCCAAAGTTGACAGATCTCTCCAACACAGCCACCTCTTATTAAACTCCTGTACAATTGATCCCACCTTCCACCAGTGGTCCAAAACAAGCACAGACCTCTGCAGTCACCTCATGCGGGAATACAAACAGCAGATGACCGCACCATCCAGAGGAGACTGATAGCTGGGGTAGTCCAAGAATACAGAAAGGAAAGAGCTGCAACCCTAGGCTGGTCCTTCCTCTTGAGCTTCTTCCTCATGGCTCTTATCATCTGTTGACAGTATCTAGTTAAACAGAGGATATGCTACATAGGGCAGACTAAAGTGCTGGGCTGCCACCAAAACAAAAATGTACAAATTCAGTGCGGAAATTCCCTGCAAAGGTAAGGCAATAGTGAATGATAAACTAACGTCTTCTGTCACAGTCCTGTGAAAAGCCGAAGAGCCTCACATATTTATCCTCTGTTAGACTGAGGGATTGTCCTTTTCCCAAAGCAAAGCAAATCATACTTTCTAATCTTCCATTCCTCCCAAGCCAACTGCTTGGAGGCCACTGCACAGACAGCCAGATTCTTCTTCTGACCAGGTAATGGGATACTTGTGTGCACACCCTCCCAGACATGTGTTGGGTTATTTAAATCAGCTCAGCAAGTCTTTTAGCCTGAGAGACACAAAGGCAATATAAACAGAGCTTCCTTTTGCACTCTGTCCTTAGAGAGTCCTATCCTGAGCAGATCATGCTGATACAACATGACAACATCCAGGGATAAAGGGGAGGCTCACACTAAAGGCAGTCTAATACTAGGTAGTGTTATAAGAGGGCAAGCAGAGATCAATGAAATATTTTCTTTTCTTCCCTACTATCAGCAAGTCTGCAAACTGAACAAGTCCCTGCCTCGTCAGAGAGCAACGAAGCGGGCGACTCCTGCAATCCTGGCATGGGTAGGGACAACGGTTTCCTTCCAAGGGACACTACCAGAGCTGAACTGTGTTTGCTTTTCTTTAAAGCCTCTTGTAGAACCCTTTGCCCTTCCCAGCATTTCTCTTGCTAGAACTTTAACGCATTTGGCACAGAACTGCAAAATTGCACAACTCCTCAAGAAGTTGGATTTGTTTGTTGCCTTTTGAAGGGATGGCTGGGGGACAGGTTTTCCATTTTTAAAAAATTATAATATTTATTATTATTATTATTGTTATTATTAACACTACTGCTATATTTAGGAAGAAGCTTCCCCCTCCCTTTTGAGTGAACCTTTCACTTGTACTCTTCTTTCAGGCAGGTGGTTTAAGCTTGATCTGCCCTCCAGGGGTTAAATAAAGAAGTGATGGGAAGGAAAACGAAGACCTTTTCAGTGGCTCATATTTGAAATCTTTTTCCCTCGCTCTCTTCTATATGTGGATCGTCTGCTTCTCGTTTCCCCTCGCTCCCTAATTATTCTGTTAGGGAATGGCGAGGGGCAAGGATTAACAATGAAGCAGATGACAGGAAACTGTTACCAAAAGAACAATGCCGGGCATCTCCCCCATCCTCCCGTTCCTCCCACCCAAGAGATGGTCCCCCTCACCCTTCTGTCGATGCCATGGCTCCGAAAAACCCCCTGTCTTCTCAAGGGTCCAAGGGATTAATTTGGACAGCAGGGCGCGAAGGAGGTTGGTTCTTTGGTATAACCCTCGCTCACGTCTGGGAAGGAGCACGCAATTCCTTGTAATCCTGGGGGCTCCGCAGGGCGAGGATCCGGCAGCTCCGCTCCTCCTCGGCTGTCCCCCACCCCGCCGTCCCAGAGCAGGCTCTCGGTGCCCCGGGGACCGGCGCTGCTGCGCCGCGGCCGCCCAGCAGTGGCCGGCGGGGCGAGGAGGCGCTGGCACCTGGGCTGCGATCCCCGGCGCCCTCCCCTCGCCGCGGGGAGCGTGTGCGTGAGTGCGCGGCTGTGTGCGAGAGCTGGGGGGCGACTTCACATCGGCGCGGCGCTGGCTGAGGCTGGATTGGAAGGTTTAGCCCTCGAGCCGTGGATTTGCAGTCAATCCCTCTCTATTTTAGGCACGGGCTGACATCACGAGCCGTTGTTACTCCTATAAATCCCCCCCAACAGCTCCTTGGCAGCGGCGGGGGGGGCGGCGAGCCCCTCGCAGGGGGAGGGCCGGGCGCCGCCGACCGCGACCTGCCCCGCTCGCCGCGGCCGCCACCGCCTCCCGGGGCAGGCTCGGCACTGCGGGGAGCCGGCCGGGAAGGCGCGATGCCCCGGGCACACACGGAGACGGACACACAGACACACACAGACACAGCTCCGCTCGCGGTGTCCGCCTGCCGCCGCGCACCCACACGTGCCCCACAGAGCGGGCCGGCGCTCGGGCGGCTGCGGAGTCCCGCAGCGCGGCCGAGGGGCTGCGCCCCCTCAGCCGCGGCACCTGCTCCGCCGCGCCGGGGCGGCGGCAGCCTCCCCGGGGGCCCGGCCCGTGTCCGCGCCGCGCTGTCCCACCGGGACGGCCGGGCTGGCTGACGGCACCGAGGGCCCGCGGCGAGCGGGGCCCCGGCCCGCAGGGAGGCGCAGGGCGCGGCGCGGCGCGGTGCTGCCCCCTGCCGGCGGGTGCGCGCGGCGCGGCGCCCGGGCCCCACCTGCCGCCGTGGCCCCGCAGGCTCGGCCCGGCCCGGCTCGGCCCGGCGCGCTCGGGCTCGGCCCGGGCTGGCCCCGCACCGCCGCGGCCCCGGGGAGCGGCCGCCGTCCCGCTGGTGGCCGCAGCCTGTGCCCACGCCTCGCCCGGGCCCGCCCCGCGCCCCTACCTGCGCCGCCCGCGGCGTTTTTGCAGCGTGGGGCAGGACGCTCCCGTCCTGTTGTGGACGTGCACTCAGGTGCTGGGGCACAGAGCGCTCCTGTCACCCCCCCCGACACTGCCACACACCTTCGCTCCCGTTTCCTTCAGCTGCGGCTCTGCCCGCCAACCTCAGTGCTCTCTTTCCATCCAAGTGTGACCAACCTGATGTCCCGTTTCACAGGGAACAAACATTTCTGCCACAGCTCGTTCCCTCTGCACCGAGGAGGTGGCACAGAAAGCCAGCAGCCATGCGGAAGCCCCCTGACACGATGAGGAGCTGGGAGGCTGCGGGGATTGCACAGCTGAGCAAAGCCTGCCTGACCCTCCGCACCACTCCCACTCCCCCAGGATGCTTTCCCTGCAACCAAGCCAATTCCAGTTACTTGCCCTTGAAACATGGCAGGATGCAGCCTATCACGCAATCCCCAGTCCTAATCAAATACACATTTTTTTTTCTTGTAATCTTACCGTGGACGTAGGCTTTCAATGGAAATAATTTACAAGGGCAGTTCTATGAGAGTAACTGAGGGTGCCTGAAAAGAGCTTGTACTTCAGTATGTCCGTTTCCTTTCAGTGCTATTTTTCAGCTAAGAACCCTGGCTTTTGAAAGTAATTTAATGCAGCCCCAAAAACAAACAAAGGAAAAACATACACTCGTTGGAGTGAATAAGAATGTAGTGTTTTGCTCTTCTCTTTCCATAGCAATATCCTTATGGCCTTTCCAGAATGCACAGCTCTTTTTCCTTGGAGGGAAAATGAGCTGCTATCCATGTTGTGCTATTTCACACCCTTTCTCCAACAGATGGCACAGATCCTCACCTGTTTAAAAAGAGATGTTTGAAATAGTTCCACATCTTAAAAATAGAGCCAAGCTATCAAAGAGATTAGCAATTCCAGGTCACACGCTGCTTTTTTTTCAAACATTTTATCCCTATTTTTCCTCATTATTGGCATTAGATGCTAACCCCTGCATAGTTCTGCTCAGTCTGTAAACAGGAAACTACTGTGGGTAAGCCTGACAGAAAGGATGGACAAGCTGGTTTGTAATTCCTGGAAATACTCGACGTGGTACAGGTGCTTGGATATGTTGATATGACTGCTCACTTGTACATGTGAATACCTATGTCATGCGAGCAGAGAAATACAACATTATGTGGGCATTTAGAGATAGGCAGGTTTGAATCTAGGGTTCAAACATGACTGAGGTCCAGAAATAGAAGCAAATCTTGCAAACTCATCCTCCTCCTGTAAAGGACTGTGCTAAAATCTGAATCCTGGGGTTGAGAGGCGTCTGGCTATTTTCTGGCTTCTGCTTTCTTTGAAGAGCATCACGGCTGTAAAAAGAAGGGGTTGAATAGCGCTGTGCATGCACAGCTATAGCAACCTCCTGAGATTTTAATTCCATGAATTCCTACAAGTTTCTCTTCAAGAATGTACTTTTGTGTGATATACAGCTAGTGAACAGCTATATTGTTGCTGTCCAAGCCCAGAAACTTTCAGCTATTCATTGCCAGGTCTGTGAGTGATTTGAAGCCAAATGGGGATGGGATTCAACACTGAGGAGCAGTTAGAGGATCAGTCAATACTAAAATATGGTTGATTTTTAGTAAAAGGAGAAGAGTGAGGTCTAAGGCTGGAATTAAACCAGACTTTTGCAGATGTATTTGGACTGGACAAATCCTAAAGGGAGAAAAACGCATTTAGGACTTCATCTCTCAGTTGCAGCAGTGGAGAGCAATAATGCTATGGAAAGCAATGCAGTCATGGTGTCATAACTGAGAAGACAACCAGCTCACAGGTCTTTATAATTTCTGTTTAGCATCAAATAATGCAATAATCATTTAGAGTGTAGAAACTCTCATTTAATGTAATCATAAAAGAGCTTTCTCATTTCATTCTTTGTCAGTAGTGTTAGGAAGAAACACATGTTGACTTTCTGCAAGTTTGTGCTTCTCCAAAACTAACACCTAATTTCCTCTAACCCATTCTGTCAGCAGGGGAGTACCACACATTCGTTGGCATGTGTTCCTCTCGGCAGAGGAATGAAACACATCATGTTTTTCACATTTAATTCAGGATTTTTGTTGCTGTTGTTGCCATGCAGTTTGTCGGCCAAGCATAATCTCCTGGCAGGAGAAGACAGACAAACAAGATAAAGAGAAGCAATATACTTTGATTGTAGGCCTTAAACTTTTTGATTTAAGCAACGTCGTGTGGTTCTATTGCCAATGGAAACAAGAAAAGTGCAAAAGCATAACACAATAAGAATTTCTGCCAAGAAAATAAAAAAGAAATTACATGGAATGATGTCCAATACTAATTGTCCTTTTAGCAGCAGTTTTTGGATTCAAAAGTGGGTAGAAACTACTGAATGCTAAGAAACTTTTAACGAGATTTTACAGCATCAGAGAATCAGAGCTGAAATCAGACTTGCTGACTTCAAGTTGCCACAGCCATGCAATAGGTGAAACACATCTTCAGGATCTGAGTCCTTCTTGATAAGACCACTAAATCTGCTCATCAGATTCCCAGTCTTCACATCCAACTACTGCTGTAAGCTGGTTTGGGCACTGTAATAATTTGAAGGTCCTAAAAACTCCATGGTGTCATATCCGACTTACCAAGAAATCATTGTTGATGGAAGACAGTCATTACTGTCT